GCCATTGCACTCCAGCCTGGGTAACAAGAGCGAAACTCCATCTCAAAAAAAAAAAAAGGAGAAGTAATAGTGGAAAAAGGCAACTGGCCAGGAATTTCCTGTGGCAGGAGGGCACTGACCACTGTGTTGGATGCATGGGTCCTTCCAGCAGAGGACAGAGAGAAGGAAGTGCTGGGGTTGTCCAGTTTAGAGTCCCAACAAGATGACTTCCCTGCATCCCTCCTTCAGCAGGACCATTAAAGGGTCTCCTTGCTAAAAGGTAGACACATAGTATTAATTAAAGGCAGAAAGCCGAGGAGATTATGAAGCCCATCTCATGATAATTGCATATATCTCACAGAGGCCTTTCTTGGAACCCTAACTTTCTACCCTGAAATCACTCAAAATATGTTTCATGGATCCAAAATTCATTCATTTACTCTTCCCCTCATCCCCCCGAGCATTTACCATAAATCAGGACCTGTTCTGAGAGCTAGGGATGAATATAGTTACGGGACAATTGACCTTGAGGATCTTAGTAGGGAAGGCTGATTCATGGATAACTGCCACAACTTGTGAAACATACTTTAATAAAGGTGTGGCAAAGCTCAAGGACACAGTGGAAGGAATGTGTAGTTCTGCTATGGGGAGTCATGGGAAGAGTCAGAGAAGCTTCTACAAAGGAGAAAACACTTGGTCAGAGTCCTCAAGAGAGGAAATCTAGAGAGGGCCCAGGTAAAAGCATGGGGAGGTTATAAAGACATAGTATGTATGAGGAATTCTAAGTCTCTTGGTACACTCAAGGAATAGTACATACATCTGTCATTTAATTATATGTAATTATCACAAAAATTTTCCAAGGTAGCTTTTATTATCCCAGTTGCTCTAATTAAGAAAGTCTGGGGCTGGGCACAGTGGCTCACACCTGTAATCTCAGAACTTTGGGAAAACCAGGTGGGTGGCTTGCTTGAGGTGAGGAGTTCAAGACCAGCCTGGGTGACATGGCAAAACGCTGTCTCTACTAAAAATACAAAAATTGGCCAAGTGTGGTTGTGTGCCCCTGTAGTTTCAGCCACCTGGGAGGCTGACGCACAAGAATCACTTGAAACAGGAGGAAGAGGCTGCAGTAAGCTGAGATAGCAGCCTGGGCGACAGAGCAAGACTCTGTCTCAAAAAATAAAAATTAAGCCAGGTGTGGTGGCTTACGCCTGTAATCCCAGCATTTTGGGAGGCTGAGGTGGGCAGATCCAGGAGGTCAGGAGTTTGAGACCAGCCTTACCAACATAGTCAAACCATGTCTCTATTAAAAATACAAAAATTAGCCAGGCGTGGTGGTGCGTGCCTATAATCCCAGCTACTCGGGAGGCTGAGGCAGGAGAATTGCTTGAACCCAGGAGGTGGAGGTTGTAGTGAGCTGAGATCACCCCATTGTACTCCAGCTTGGGCAACAGAGTGAGAATCCATCTTTAAATAAATAAATAATTAATTAAAAAAAAGAAAAATCTGAGGGCTTAGTGATTATAAACTTAACTTGGTGCACGGCCACTGAGTTGCAGAGTTGAGATGTGAACCCAAGTCTGTTTGATTTTAGGCTACTGAGTTGTAGAGTTGAGATGTGAACCCAGGTCTGTTTGATTTTAAAGCCCAAAAGGAAGGCATGCCACTTTAAAAAAGGGAAAGGGCAAGAAATGGAAGAAGGAAAATGATGTGTCTTCTACAGAATTGGTGGAGTTAATTCCTTCAGCAACTCTCCTCCTCACCTTATTTTAGGTTTAGGAATAATATCAAAAGCAGTCAGTCATTTTTATTATTATTTTTAAGACAAGGTCTCCCTCCTCTGTCACCCAGGCTAGAGTGCAGTGGTTCGATCTTAGCTCACAGCAGCCTTGACCTCTCAGGCTCAAGCAATCCTCCTGCCTCGGCCTCTTGAGTAGCTGGGACAACAGGTGTGTGCCACTGTGCCTAGCTAATTTTTTTTATTTTTTGTAGAGATGGGTTCCTGCTATGTTGTCTAGGCTCAAGCAATCCTCACACTTCAGTGTCCCAAAGCATTGGGATTATTGGCATAAGCCACTGTGACTTGCCCCCAAGAACCACTGTATAGTATTGGTGCCAACCTGGGCCATTAGGTCTATTGGTATGTTTTCAAGTTTTTGATATTAAGGTGGCATACATGTATAAGCTTGTCTATAAGATGAATTCCTAGAAATAAGCTTGTCTATAAGATGGATTCCTAGAAATGAAACTGTTTAAGTCAAAGTTAAAAAATTTGACAGTGATGTCAACTGCTCTCCAAAGATGGCTTTATCAATTTATGTTTTTGCCCGCAGTGTATGTATGTGCTTGTTTCCCACGTCCTCACCAGCATTTTGGCATTATCAGTGCTGGTGTGAGAAGTAAAAATGGAATTTGTGATTGTAATCTTGTTTACCTTTGGCTTCAATCCTCTGGCCACTTCCAATCAAGCAGTCCTTGATGTCTGTACCCTTCTCGATGACAGCATTGTTGCAGATGACACTGCCTTGGATGTTGCTTCTGTAACATAGTAGCCAAGTTAGGGAGGACCCAGGGCTTGCATCATCCTCCTCATTACTATTGGTTGGGAGTTCTGGCTCCTCCCTAGGCCAGGAACAGGTGGGCAGTATAGTTAAAGGCTGCCTGCCTCAAGTTATCAGTGGAAGACACAATGGTAAGCCAAGGGAGGACCTGGCTTCACAGAAGTCCAGATTTGGGACTATCCTCGTAACAATCTTTCTCTAAGGCCTAAAAAGAAGATACTCTGACTTCAGTTCCTTTTTTTTTTTTTAGACAGGGTCTCACTGTGTCACCAGGACTGGAGTGCAGTGGTGTGATCATAGATCACCTGCAGCCTCTACAACACCTGGGTTCAAGGGATTCTCCCACCTCAGCCTGTAGCTGGGACTACAGTGCACACCAACATGCCTGGCTAATTACTTCAGTTCTTTAGGACCCCAGAACCTAGAGGTCTAAATTCCATCCAACCTCTTCTTTGGTCTGGCGCTGGTCCTTAGGCTGACCCATCACTGCTGCTTCTCATCTGGGAGTATATACCAAATTTCACTTGAGGCCCAGAAGTCAAGAATCCTCCTAGAAGATCAACTCTGGAAACAATGGGCACCCACACTCTCACCACAGACTCTGGTTAAGCAAAGCCATACTCATTAAAAACGAAAAAAAAAATTTTTTTTTTTTTTTTTTTTTGTTTTTCAGATAAGGTCTCGCTTTATTGCCCAGGCTGGAGTGCAGTGGTGCGATCTTGGCTCACTGCAGCCTCTACCTTGTGGGTTCAAGCGATTCTCCTGCCTGAGCCTCCCAGGTAGCTGGGACTACAGGGCCACCATACCAGGCTAATTTTTGTATTTTTAGTAGAGATGGAGTTTCACCATGTTGGCCAGGATGGTCTTGAACTCCTGACCTCAAGTGATCCCCCGCCTTGGCCTCCCAAAGTGCAGGAATTACAGGAGTGAGTCACCACGCCTGGCCTAAAAAATTTTTTTTAAGAGATAAGGTATTATGTTGCCCAGGCTGGTCTCAAATTCAAGCTCAAGCAATTCTGCCTCAGCCTCCTAAATATCTGAGACTACAGGTGCCCATCACTATGTCTGGCTAAAAGGATTTTTAAAAAACCAACTCCATTCCACATAAAAAACTATTCTAGACCCTAAAGCATACCCCAAGAGCAGCACCACTTGCTCGTAGCATTTAAATGTATTTAAAAAGCGGCCAGGTGCAGTGGCTCATACCTGGTAATCCCAGCACTTTGGGAGGCTGAGGCAGGTGGATCATCTGAAGTCAGGAGTTTGAGACCAGCCTGACCAATATCGTGAAACCCCGTCTCTACTAAAAATACAAAAATTAGCCAGACTTGGTGGCAGGAGCCTGTAGTCCCAGCTACTTGGGAGGCTGAGACAGTAGAATTGCTTGAACTCATTGGGTAGAGGTTGCAGTGAGCTGAGATCATGCCATTGCACTCCAGCCTGGGTAACAAGAGCGAAACTCCATCTCAAAAAAAAAAAAAGGAGAAGTAATAGTGGAAAAAGGCAACTGGCCAGGAATTTCCTGTGGCAGGAGGGCACTGACCACTGTGTTGGATGCATGGGTCCTTCCAGCAGAGGACAGAGAGAAGGAAGTGCTGGGGTTGTCCAGTTTAGAGTCCCAACAAGATGACTTCCCTGCATCCCTCCTTCAGCAGGACCATTAAAGGGTCTCCTTGCTAAAAGGTAGACACATAGTATTAATTAAAGGCAGAAAGCCGAGGAGATTATGAAGCCCATCTCATGATAATTGCATATATCTCACAGAGGCCTTTCTTGGAACCCTAACTTTCTACCCTGAAATCACTCAAAATATGTTTCATGGATCCAAAATTCATTCATTTACTCTTCCCCTCATCCCCCCGAGCATTTACCATAAATCAGGACCTGTTCTGAGAGCTAGGGATGAATATAGTTACGGGACAATTGACCTTGAGGATCTTAGTAGGGAAGGCTGATTCATGGATAACTGCCACAACTTGTGAAACATACTTTAATAAAGGTGTGGCAAAGCTCAAGGACACAGTGGAAGGAATGTGTAGTTCTGCTATGGGGAGTCATGGGAAGAGTCAGAGAAGCTTCTACAAAGGAGAAAACACTTGGTCAGAGTCCTCAAGAGAGGAAATCTAGAGAGGGCCCAGGTAAAAGCATGGGGAGGTTATAAAGACATAGTATGTATGAGGAATTCTAAGTCTCTTGGTACACTCAAGGAATAGTACATACATCTGTCATTTAATTATATGTAATTATCACAAAAATTTTCCAAGGTAGCTTTTATTATCCCAGTTGCTCTAATTAAGAAAGTCTGGGGCTGGGCACAGTGGCTCACACCTGTAATCTCAGAACTTTGGGAAAACCAGGTGGGTGGCTTGCTTGAGGTGAGGAGTTCAAGACCAGCCTGGGTGACATGGCAAAACGCTGTCTCTACTAAAAATACAAAAATTGGCCAAGTGTGGTTGTGTGCCCCTGTAGTTTCAGCCACCTGGGAGGCTGACGCACAAGAATCACTTGAAACAGGAGGAAGAGGCTGCAGTAAGCTGAGATAGCAGCCTGGGCGACAGAGCAAGACTCTGTCTCAAAAAATAAAAATTAAGCCAGGTGTGGTGGCTTACGCCTGTAATCCCAGCATTTTGGGAGGCTGAGGTGGGCAGATCCAGGAGGTCAGGAGTTTGAGACCAGCCTTACCAACATAGTCAAACCATGTCTCTATTAAAAATACAAAAATTAGCCAGGCGTGGTGGTGCGTGCCTATAATCCCAGCTACTCGGGAGGCTGAGGCAGGAGAATTGCTTGAACCCAGGAGGTGGAGGTTGNAAAAAAAAAAAAAAAAAAAAAAAAAAAAAAAAAAAAAAAAAAAAAAAAAAAAAAAAGAAAGGAATTTATGACTAACCTTTACTGTACATCTATTCTATGCCAGGTATTGTGCTAAACAAATACTCTCTGTACATTATAGGAGTGACTTTTACAAACCTAATAATTTCTTTTTTCTTTTTTTTTGAGACAGAGTCTTGCTCTGTCGCCCAGGCTGGAGTGCAATGGCACAATCTGGGCTCACTGCAACCTCTGTCTCCTGGGTTCAAGCAATTCTCCTGCCTCAGCCTCCCAAGTAGCTGGCATTACAGGTGCCTGCCACCATGCCTGGCTGCTTTTTTTTTCTTTTTTGAGATGAAGTCTTGCTCTGTCGCCAGGCTGGGTGCAGTGGTGCAATGCCAGCTTACTGCAACCTCTGCCTCCCCAGTTCAAGCGATTCTCCTGCCTCAGCCTCCCGAGTAGCTGGGACTACAGGCGCACACCACCATGCCCAGCTAATTTTTGTATTTTTAGTAAAGATGGGGTTTCACCATGTTAGCCAGGATGGTCTCGATCTCTTGATGTTGTGATCCGCCTGCTTTGGCCTCCCAAAGTGCCGGGATTATAGGAGTGAGCCACTGCACCTTGCCATTTTTTGTATTTTTAGTAGAGGCAGGGTTTTGTCATGTTGGCCAGGCTGGTCTTGAACTCCTGACCTCAGGTAATACAACCTTCTTTTTTTTTTTTTGAGATGGAATCTTGCTCTGTCCCCCAGACTGAAGTGCACTGGTGCAATCTGCAACCTTCACCTTCCAGGTCCAAGCAATTCTGCCTCAGCCTCCCAAGCAGCTGGGACTACAGACCCGTACCAACACGCGCAGCCAATTTTTGTATTTTTAGTAGAGATGGGATTTAACTATGTTGGCCAGACTGGTCTCAAACTCCTGGCCTCACGTGATCTGCCTGCCTCAGCCTCCCCAAGTGTTGGGATTACATGCATGAGCCACCATGGCTGGCCACAAATCTAGTAATTTCTTTTTTTTGAGATAGGGTCTTACTTTGTAATCCAGGCTAGTGTGCAGTGGTGTGATCTTGACTCACTGCAGCTTCTACCTCCTGGGCTGAAGTGATCCTCTGCCTCAGCCCCCCAAGTAGCTGAGACTATAGGCATGTGTATACTATAGCGTAAGAAATAACAAATAAAACCACCCTCAGTGTCCTGGCCCCCATCAATTATTTTGGTAGGTCTTGGATAGAAGCTTAATGTATTTAACTAAAAGAAAACCTCTCCTAGATGATTCTGGGAGTACTATTTTAATCTCTGAGGCAATAAAAAAGAGCAACCACATTTTGCAGATGAGGTAACAGAGAAGTTAAACCATTCACCAAAAACCATATAACTGCTAGTAACCTATTTAAATCTAGGTCTGCCTGACTTCAGAATCCATAATTTAATCATAATGCAATACAAAGAAACTAAGAAAAGACTGGAGGAGATCTAGAACTGCCTTATTCTGAGCTGAGATGGCTCAATGGAAGGAGCTCTTTTCTAACAAGAGGATATTCAGTACCCCTGGGTCAGAAATGGGAAGATCAAAAAATGGGCAGCTGGGGGGAGAAGGAGGAGGATAGAGAGGGTATAAGCACCCTTTAACAAAACAAAACTAAGGAAAAATTCTCAACCCAAGAGGCGTGAGGGGGTGGGGAAGAGGACACTCCGAGGACTGAAAACACTGATACACAGGCCATTAAAAAAGATTATTCCCAAATGCCAAAACTTAGTAAAATGAAAAAAAAAATTTAGTTCTTTCTGGCATTTCAGAGTCTTCTTTATCTCTGTTCTCCTAGGAGGTTAAAGCCTGTTGGAAAGCAGCAAAAGGCCAAAACCATAGCACTTCTGTGGTGTAGGCTAGTGATGGGCAGAGACAGCACTAGTTTGCCTTTTGGCAGGCTTGGGATACACTCAGTGGGTGGGCTTTAAGAGAGCTTCCAAGGCCGGGCACGGTGGCTCAAGCCTGTAATCCCAGCACTTTGGGAGGCCGAGGCGGGTGGATCACGAGGTCAACAGATCGAGACCATCCTGGTCAACACGGTGAAACCCCGTCTCTACTAAAAATACAAAAAATTGGCTGGGCATGGTGGCGTGTGCCTGTAATCCCAGCTACTCAGGAGGCTGAGACAGGAGAATTG